CAAGAACGGGACGAAAATATAAGAAAATTGCGGCAGCAACTAGAAAGTGGAGTGGCTAAAAGTTTTGACCTAAATGAGGGTTTGGTATATCGGGTGAAAGACAACGGACGTAACGCTTTGTATATACCGAAAGAGATGGAAGATACAGCCTTATTATGTATCTCGAACGATAGGCCGCACGAACGATTCGTCTGTAGGCGATATCGTCACGGATTGCAATTTTGTAACTCTGTCGTTCGTCTTGTCTTTACGTCGATTACGTTGCAATCGTCTCGGTTACGTTGTATGATGTTGCCGGATGAAATTTTGGTGTACTTCCAAAGAGTTTTTCTTAGATTTCTAATATTTTCAGCTTATTTCAATGCTTTTTATTTTAAATGGGAAACATCGGAATTGTTTACATTTTGGTTTTGCTTATAAGTGTTTTGGTTGTGTTGCGGAAAGAAATATAGGGAAAATGAATTTTTAAAAATGTATGCTGCTATAGCGCTAATGGACGCCGAGGAATCCGAAGAAAGGGAAAGGCGGATACAGAGGAGGAGATTGCGACACCACACCAAAGTAATGGAACTACCTGAGACTGAGTAAGTTCAAGATTAGCAAATAATTTTTTTATGCTACAATGTATTCGTTTCTAGATTTGTTGCAAATTCCCGAATCAATAAACAAATATTCCAATACATATTAAACGAATTAAAAGAGCACATGGCTCCATCACATAGAAGCACCCACCTATCGCACCAGCTAAAACTCGCGACTTTTTTAAGATTTCTCGCCACCGGCAGTTACCAAAAATCTGTTGGTAACGAAAATATTTCGTCGATGGGGCAGTCAACTGCAGCCAACGTGATCAGGGAATGCCTAAATATTTTTGAGGACCATTTTTGCCAGAAATGGGTGAATTTTAGGAGAAACATCGATGAGGAAAATGCAGTTAAAGAATATTTCTTTGAGAAATACGGAATACCTGGGGTTATTGGTTGTGTTGATGGAACACACGTTCGTATTAAGTCGCCAGGAAGTGACAACCACCATTTATACCTCAACCGCATGGGTTTTTACAGTATCAATGTAATGGCGGTAGGTTAATGATTTACTATCTTTACAAGTATACATATACACAAATTGAGTTTCCTTACAGATATGCGATCACAACATGGTAATCACATTTGTTGACGCTAGGCATCCAGGGGCGAATCATGATTCATTTGTTTGGAATGTGAGTCACGCAGAACAGGAGCTAAAATCTGATTATAACAATGGAAAAACCAACACATGGCTACTCGGTAAGTTTTAAAACTTAAAAAGGCTATAAAACTATTACTGACAATGAAAATTTTTGTAGGTGATTCTGGTTACCCCTTGCAGCCATACTTGATTACGCCATTCAGAAGCGCAGCCAATGAAATTCAACGAATTTACAACACAAAGCACTCGAAAGCTCGTAATGTAATTGAGAGATGTTTCGGTGTTTTTAAAAACCGATTTCGATGTATAATTGGCTCGAGAGGGCTGCACTATTCACCAGAAAAAGTTACACAAATTGTAAATGTGTGCTGTGCTATTCATAACGTTTGCATATTTTTCAAACATCAAATTCCATTGGTGAGCCCAGATATGGAGAATCTTGTTAGTTACGAAGAAGAACTGGAAAACAGTAACATTTCGAATACAGCTGCCCTTATTAGAATGAGAATAGCAGAGAGTTTGTTATAAACGCAGTTTTATTATAAAGTATGTGTGTTTAGAAGTCAGGTACATCAGCAAAATTCATTTGTCTTAAAATTAATAAAATATTTACATAAAAATTCAACAAAATATCTTTTCAGTCTTAAATCCTAAATCTACATATAAACTAAGTAAATGCAACAAAATATCAATTCACACTTAAATCTAAAAAATATTTACACAAAAAAAAAAAAAAAAATATCACTTCAATACTCTCACAATAGTGGTATGAAAATTAATTCCGGAAGTACTCCAAAAATTTTTCAAAAATTTCAGATTGGCGTTCCACTGCAGCAGTTAATTTGTTTGTGGCATCCACCTGCAGCATTGATGCCTCTGCCATTTTTTTTGCAGCCTCAGCCTGCACTTTAGCGGCTTCTGCTTGGACTTTGGCAGATTCAGCCACTGTCTCTTGGAAGGTGCGCTTCCTATTAGTAGAACTTAACGTGTGCGTTGGTGTAGGACGGGTTGTCTGTGTAGTGGGAGTTACTACTCCCACTGGTGGTGGTTGGTTGTGCCTTATAGGAGATTGAAGGGTGGTTGTTTGTTGCCTTCGTTGGTCAAGTGTTGGCGATTCAGTCACAAGTAAAGGAGGCATTTCCTCCAACGACGAATATCTTGACATGTTAGAGGTCGCCGTCGAAGGAATGCCGAAAGCTCTGCCGCTCGGGGCTGCTGACCTCGAAATAAAAACCAGGCTGTCTATGGCCTGCTCCATTTCGGAAAGCGGAGAGTGACGGAATGGGCCACCACCGGTAGCAGTAAGGCTTCGTTTGTTTTCGGCAATCTTCTTTTTTGTCCGGCTTTTCAAGTCAGCCCATATCTTGAAAAATAAAAATAAAATAAAATTCAATGTCAGTAAAATGGAAATAGTAAGCATTTATCTACCACATACAATTTATGCACTTATGCTTACTTTCTTCCATTCGACGGCCGTTCTTGTAGGAGGACCATGAGAATTAATTTTCCTCATAATTTCCTCCCACCGCTCCTCTACCCTTCCTCGATCAGATCCAAACACTGCGACACCTCTGGCCAGGTCAGGATTTCTCCATTTCTTTTACCAGTACTTCAAATTGAGTGGTTGTAGTTTTTTTCAGCGCTACAAGCATAAATATTAATATATTTCCTTAAACCAAGTTATATTTTTTATTTTCTTACTTTTCCTGGCAGAACCCTCCATCTTAACGATCACTAATAACCAGGGAACGGATTTTTAGGACCTAAAAACCTGTAAAAAAGGCAAAATAAAATAACGAAATAGGACGGAAAAGGCAAAATAAAATAGCGAAAAAGGCAGGAAAAGGCACTAGGTAGTGCAAAAAAGGCAAAAAAAGGCAAAACAAAATAGCGAAAAAGGCATGAAAGGCAAAAGAAAGGTATTGCAAAAAAAGCAAAATAAGGCACTAAAAAAGACAGAAAATACGAAGAACAATCAAAAATTACATTTATTTTAGAAATTTTTATATTACAAGTAAAAAGAGAAAAACTATGAACTAATTTCATTATATGAAAAATTTGTACTTTGAATCTTTGACTATTTTATCATTTCGAGTTTTTAACTCATAAAACTTTAATCTGTATAGTTGTAGTAACATTGAACCACAAGATGCATTTTGAAGTTTTCTGGCAGCATTTTCATTCGATTTTCGCGAAGAAAAGCCTTGAATGTACTAAATGTGCGCTCGACGTAAGTTGATACAAGTGGCGCCCAATTTAAATATGAAACGTTTGAAACGTTCATATTATCAGGAATAAGGGCATTTGCCTCGCCCTTAACAATTTTATCCACACCCCTTATTGTCTCCAAGCCTAAGTTAGCTGAGAAAACGGCTTTGAATTTTTCCAACACCAATTTGGCAATAGGTCCCTGCGCTTCTATAAGCCGCTTCTCAATGTTATCCAAAATATTTAATACCTCACCAACTGGAGTTCCTACAATTACATAAAAAGTGTATGTGAATTATTAATTTTTTACTGAGAATTTGGTTTTTCCACAACCTGTTTTCTGTAGACGTTCGAAAACTTTTTCCTCTAAAAGAAAACCAAAATTGCATTTTATATATATCAAATTCCCCTGAACCGATTTTTTGCTCAACAATTGCTTCGAGAAACTGACGTTATTTGGTCAATTATTCTTTTGATGGAATCATAGTTTTCGGCATAATATACGGCTGCAATTAGCCATGTGCCTCATCGAGTTATCACCTGTATAAATTTACTAACAATTATAATTAAAATTAACAACAATAGCAATTTATCTTGACATACCGGCTGAGGAGGCAGAGGAAGATTGGGTTCCATTTCTTTGAAAACTGCCACCCTGAATGGGCTTTTCAAGAAAACTTTTTTTAAGTTTGAAATTAAGACGTCAACATCTGAGTACTTCGAGCGTAGAGATTCGCAGACCCGGTGTACGCCATGTGCGACGCAGGTGATATGAATCATATTAGGATAAAGCAGCTTCAATGATGACGCACTTTTCTTCATGTAGGGTGCTGCATCAGTCACAAATACCGACACTTTTTCACGTTGGAATCCTATTGGCCATAAAATGTGCATAGAATCGTCAAACAATGTTGCGATTGTTGATGAGTTCACCTTATCCAACACCTCCACCGTCAAGAGATAGCCGCGTCCGCTTTCACGCAACGGTCCAACAATAACGTTGGTTACACTGCGGCCTGCCTTATCTGTAGTTTCATCGATGGACACAAAGATGGGGCTTTCTCCTATTTCTAAACGAATTTTCTGCAAAACGGACTCGTAACAATCCTTCACGTAATTTTTTCTAAGAGTTGATTCATCGGGAAGGGATTCCTGAACGTATTTTTCAAAGAATGATTTGAATTCCACACTCTTCAATTTATAAAGTGGAATTCCGCATGCAATCATCATTTTAGTAATATCTGCGTAAAATACATTCTTTTCCACAAATGGTGCTATCATTTGGGTCTTGTTTTTCTTTATTTATAATCCTTTTATATGTTTTTCACTTTTAATATGCTGCTGTATATAATATTTTTTTTCGTGATTAACTTTTACTGAACAAATATTGCAAAATAAAACGGTCCCATCAGTACAAAATACATCAGAACCAAACTCGGGAATCAGAGTGTGAATTTTTAAACTCTTGGTAATTTTAGACTTCGGCATTGCTTTTTTAGTTTTTACACTGAATAACTTTTTGTTTCAATAACGGCTGGCAAACTCTATTGAAGTAAAACAGTTGTTAGTTGTGCACATCAGCAACTGTGTTGATAGATTTTAGCACGCAACAGAGTGACATGAAAACTACAAAATTTATTTTTGCTTAAGTATTCACTACTTAGACACTGCGTTTTTCTATACATACTAATTTTCGAATATGGGCATGTGTATATTTCTTAATCTTTAAAAAAATTGTAAATGCTATAATCACTTTTTTAAAGGTAGAAAGGGCAAAAAAAAGGCAAATATCTTAAAACAGGCAAAAAAAGGCAAATATCTTAAAAAAGGCAAAAAAAAGGCAATTATCTTAAAAAAGGCAAAAAAAGGCAACATCAAATGGGTATATATGGAATCAGGGAAAGCTAAATCGTGGACATTCTTGATCGAATATACTCTATCTCTTTAGCAGAAAAAAAGGCAATTTCCATAAAATCCGTTCCCTGCTAATAACCTTTCGTCTGTTTTCAACGATTGTCGTCTCACTTTCGTCTTCTATTCGCCTTAAAAAATTCCAAACTAGACGAAAACTACGTAACGATCAGCTGTTTTCGTGCTGCCAGACGATTTCGACTTACATACTACCAACACACGAAAGAAACGTCTGGCAGATGAAACGAACGTTCGCTTCGAGATACATGATTAGGCTGATAATGTCATACGACTAATACCCGAAAAAATTGGACATTAGGCGCTTGACAAAAGCTGTAGTAAAGTTAGTTTGTATTACTGGTTTCCGGAAATGCCCCGGAAAGTTGATCACTTCATTAAAAATTGCCTAAAACGCATAATGTATGCCACACCAGCTAGAGAGCGAAACTTACATAGCATTCCAAAAATTCCTTTGGCATTCGATACAATACACATCGAACACTTTGGACCGTTACCAGCAATAAAATCATAAAGGAAGCGTGTGCTAGTAGTTATTGATTCCGTTACAAAATTCGTAAAGCTCTTCCCTAAAAATTCCACAAGTACACGGGAGATAATGGCCGCATTAGATAAATAATTTAGCTACAATTTAGTACTACAGTAGGTCTAGAAGAATAACTTCCAACAGGGGTAGCTGTTTTACCTCATTAGAATTCAAAGAGTTTTTACTGAGAAGGAACATTCAGCATGTTCAAACAGCGGCAGCATCGCCCCAAGCCAACGGGCAAGTTGAGAGGGTTAATAGGGTTCTCAAAGCCATGCTAGGGAAATTGAGTGATCCGATAGATCACCCTGACTGGTCGAAGAAACTGTTACAAGCTGAATATGCTATAAATAATTCACAGTACATACTCTCCTAGTATTCTGTTGTTCGGTGTGGAACAACGAGGAGAAATAATTTACGATTTTTTTGAATATGTAGAAACTAAATTAAACGAGGAGGAACAGCGTAATTTAATTGCCCTACGAGATAGTGCCGCAAAAGCTATACACAACGCTCAGGACTACAGCAAGAGCTACTTCCTAAAGCGCAGCATCGAAGCGAAAGGATATAAGGTAGATGATTTTGGGGTAATAAGGAATGTGGATACCATGGCCGGGTTAAACAAGAAGTTTATACCGAAGTACAAAGGACCGTACATGGTACATAAAAGGTTAGGTAGTGATAGGTATGTGATCAAAGATGTAAAAACGTGTCAGTTGACTCAATTACCGTACGATGGTGTGGTCGAAGCGAAGCGAATGAGATGATGGGTGACTCGGAATAAAAATGCTGAACCCATTGATGAACTGGGCAATACTGACAAATAGCAAAATAAATTTTGGGCATAACGTTTTACTTTCTTCAAGTTCTTTTTATACTACTTATAACACGTAGGCATTTTATCGCATTGGATATTGTTATTAGATTTGATTTAAGATCGAGGTCGATCAAATGTCAGGTTGGCCGAGCTGTAAAAACAGTATAAGTGGTAACCCTCTCGGTATGGGAAGCCGATATGGCAACCTCGATATATCGTAAGTTCGATAAGTCTAAACCCCCACTTTTACATACGAAGAGGCCATTGTTTTTGGTGGAGCAAACCGAGAAGGTTAAGACAACTTCGCGCCAAAGATATACATTAACAATAGATAGCGTCTTAAGTGAATAAAGTTATTATATAAACCAATTCAAGCGTTTATAATAGTAAACATTATTGTTTCATGATCAGATGTTTTGTGTCGATCTAGCCCCTTAAATGCAATATTTTTCAAATTTGAGTATAGGAGATCAATTTTTGTCTCAGATTCTTCTGCTATTCGGGTATTGAAATCTACAAGTTGGAGCATGGAAATGGAATTAAACAACTCATTTAATTTCACACTGTGTGTCGATACTTTGTTCATATTAATATTAAAATCGCCAACAATTACATTGTTAGACGTTGTATCACATATCTCCATTACTATTGAATCAAGATAGTTGATAAACTCGCTATCACTAGTACTTTGGGACTGGTATATAACTCCAATTTGCCATTTAACCTCAAGATTTTTTAATTGCACAATAATACACCAAATATTTTCATTCATGGATTTATTGCATTTTACCCTAAATTCCAGCGAGTCATTAATGTACATAACTACACCTCCGGTGTGCCTACTGTGTGAATCACATCCAATTACTGTACACGATATTGTACCTGTTTCAGCATCACTAATTTGATCTGTTATGCTAGTTTCGGAACAAAGTACAAGAGCTGGGTCAAATAACTCTAACCACTAGTCTGTCGATTTCGAGTTTATTGTGTATTAAGCAGGGTTCGGAGTGCAATGGGGCATAGTCGTTGCGCTGGGTATGCAGTTACCGACTCTTGCGTCCTCGTTCGCGCATTCTGGGCAACGTGAGCAACCCATGTGCGAGATGCGGTAACCAGTCCGAGTGGAGCCTTGGGTCACGGCAGAAAGAGAGGGAGCTTCGGTGGGGCCACTCTGACTTATTCGGTTTAAGGGCTCACTGAAGTCTGCAGCGTCTGTTCACCAGTAGGTGCGGCTGCAAGCGGGTGTCTGCTTGGAG